AATAACAATTAGATTAATATTGATATAGTGTTTCTCGTGTTGTAGTTCAAGATTGTGCATTTTTAAATTTATTTTTGTTATAAATTTTTTATACTTTATTTTATCTCTCTTCGTTGAAAAATGTGTCTTGTATGGTAAGGCAGTTTAGTAACCAAAACTTTCATAACCAAAAACAATTATCGTTTTAAAACTTTCTGAAAGTATTATGTATAAAAGTAGTCGTTATCAGATTATAATTGTTAATAGTACGTTTTACGACAAGCTGATTTAGTAACCAAATATTTCACAGCGTAGTTAAACTTACCAAAAATATTGCATACCACAGTGGTACCACATATTTTCAATTAAAATTATTGCTTGTACACTTTACGTCAAGCGTTTTTGATACCAAATCGTTCATATCACTAAACTAGCCAAAAAGTTTCTATTTCACAGTAGGACAACATTATTTTCAAAAACAATTATTGGCTTTGTTGCCTGTACACTTTTCGGTAAGCCTACTTTGTAACCAAAAAGTTCATATCTTAACAAAATTTTCCAAAAGGATTGTATGCCACAGTAAAACAACATTATTTTCAATAAAATTATTGGCTTTGTTGCTTGTGCACTTTTTGGTAAGCCTACTTAGTAGCCAAAAAGTTCGTATCTTAGCTAAACTTGCAAAAGAATTCTATGCCATAGTAGTACAACATTATTTTTAATAAAAATTATTGGCTTTGTTGCTTGTCTACTTTTCGGTAAGCCTACTTAGTAACCATAAAGTTCATATCTTAGCTAAACTTGCAAAAGAATTCTATGCCATAGTAGTACAACATTATTTTCAATAAAAATTATTGGCTTTGCTGCTTGTACACTTTTCGGTAATCCTACTTAGTAACCAAAAAGTTCATATCTTAGCTAAACTTGCGAAGGAATTCTATGCCACAGTAGTACATTATTTTCAATAAAAATTATTTTCTTTGTTGCTTGTACACTTTTCGTTAATCCTACTTAGTAACCAAAAAGGTCACATCGTAGCTAAACTTTCCAAAAGAATTGTATGCCATAGTAGTAAAACATTATTTTCACTTAAAATTATTACTAGAACATTTTATGGTAAATCTATTTACTAATCTAAAAGTTCATATCGTAGCTAACCTTGCCAAAAGTATTATATACTTATGTAGTACCACATTATTTTCAATTAAAATAATTGTGTATTCCTAGCTATGAAAGCCTTATTAAAATCTGAATAAAATATAATGCCCCATTTTAATTTTTTAAGTGGCTTGTATTAGATGCTTACCTGACGTGCTTATGCCGTTTCTCAAAAATTACAAGACAAATCATTTCGTCATCTTTTTATTTTATACCTTCCTCCTATTTTATGATGAATTTATCGCACTTGTAAATGAACTAAATGTTTAATACTTGTAATCAAATTCTACAAAAATGTACATGATTTTTATTTAACTTAAAATGAAGTAAGAGCTTTAATTCGTAGATCAAACGTACATTCAGAAAAATAAATAAATTTATATTGAACGAATATTTAAATTAATAGATATTAAATTAATATTTTAGTCAACTTTACTATTCCACCCTTTCAAAAATATTTAGAGGAGTATGGGAAAAAAATGTCGATTCTGCTCATTCCGTGTCATTATGTCTCTTCGGAGTTTATTTATGCAATTCTTCCTTTGGCACTTTTGAATTCAAAATTCTTGGAAAGAACAACTTGCATATATGCATGTGTAGTTTTAAGTATCTAGATAAGTTTACCATTATAAGCATAGTATCTAAGCAAAATTTACCCTGACATCATTTTGGCTTTTATTTCATATTGTTTTGCATTAAAATATCTAAGTTTCATTTGGCATTCTGGTTATCAAAATTCTGCGTTCAGTAGTTATTCATGCTACTGTATTTATTTTGTTATTTTTATTTACATTGTTATTTGAATGTGGCAGAATTCATAGATCTACCCTGTAAGAATATATTTTCATGGAATGTACGGAACCAACTATTCTTTTTCTCCTCGGGGGGCTGTTGTCTATGTTCTGGCTACTTATAAATGTGTCTGACAGCCCTCTTGGGGAACTATTTTGAATGCTAAAAAGTGAGATCATAAGCAGAGATAATAAGAAAAAGCGGCAACTTGCAACAACTTCAGCTTGTGCTTTGCTTTATATCAAAGTTTAAAAAAAAAACGAAGGACTGGCTCTTTTTCTCTATATATGCATTATTGTAAAATGTGGCTCTCCATTCTCTGATGAAATTTAAAATATGGTAGATACATTCAACATCAAATATTGATCTTACTGTTTTTGCAGTCAGAATAAAATAACCTCGCCTCCACGTTGGCGTTCCCTGGGCAACATTGCGATTAGAAAGAGGCATTATAAGGACCGATTCTTTCATCACAATGGCTAAGAGGTTAAATAGTAGTAGTAGTACTTTATTTATATTGCACTAGAGTTCTATAATGGGTCCGGTCTGGGGAACATCCCTGAGGATGATCCGAAGGTACGTAATCACAATTTTGATCCTCTGCAGAGTGTTGGGCTCCCACGCTTTGGTAGCTCTACGGTACAACAGCTTAACTAAGACCGATGCAACACACCCTCGGTTCTTTCGCAATTTGATCAAATTGGTCATCCTCCCTCTTATTGTCCGCAGCCAATGAAGCTTGACTTCAGTGATTTAAAGGGAACAATGCCTTACAACCGACCCACTGAGGGTAACAGGTTATAATAAAGTGGAAGTTTGATAAGTTCAGCTCAACATAAGCAAATCAATAAGTTTTTTGATCCAGCTATATTTATAGTAGAGTCACCGTTATTGCAGGGCAGTTCTCTCTTCGTATTTCTGCAATTGTAAAATTTGCAAATTCGCTCTCCTTTATTTGGGGGGGGGGACTGCGGAACAATATTAAATTGGCTCTTAAATTGTATTAACTCTGCTTAAACTTTTGCCAATACTGAAGGTATTGTACATTTAAGTATTGGGGACCGTTTTTCTACGAGATTGATTTTAAAGTAAATACTTTCGGTTTACGAGGCATTATGAACAAGATTCATATAATATGTAGTGTGATAAAACAACATTTATTTCAAATGGGAGAATATTTAAATTTTTAATGCCAATCATGTCTGTAAAAAGGTAGTTTCAATTTTTCAAATAGTTTTGCATTAGGCATTATAAAAGAAATAAGCCAACAGGAGCCGCAATGGCTCAAGTTGCCGCTTCCAATGCGGCGAACCGGGTTCGAATCCCAGTCGATACTAATAGCGCATACGGCTTGCACCTTCACGGCTTTTAAGTGAATTGAAAAATTCTGTACGCAATTACAAAATTCGTTTACCCAAAGAAATTCTATGCAAAAAAAAAAAACATTTTAATAATTATTTGTCATTTTTTCTAATTTTAATAATAGTGAAAATGTTTGAACTGTAAGGTAAGGTATACAATTTTTAACATTTAAAGTACGTAATTTTACATAGCAAAATACAAAATTTGGGCCAAAACGGTTGAAAAGTTCGTATATTTAAAATTCGATTTGTCAGGAATTATTCAACCGGTTTCGCTCAAATTTTGTATTTTGAGCCGCGATGGCTCAGGGGATAGAGCGTTCGTCTTCCACAGTGGTGAACCGGGTTATCCTCAGTGGTAGACGGATCATGCCTTGCCGTCAGGCTAACTGTGGGAGGTTCTCTTGGTCTTCCTTTCCATATAACGCAAATACGGGTTAGCTCCATCAAAAAGTCCTCCACGAAGGCAAATTTCTCCCAATACTCGACCAAGGAGTTCCCTTGTCTTCTGGATTGGGTTCAAAATTACACGGCTACGGAGTTGAATATTAGTAGTCGTAAGCCCATAAAATTTTGTATTTTGCCATGTAAAAAGATGTGCCACTTTTAGGTTGTGTAAAAAAGTGTATACCTTACAATTCAAAATGTTTTCAACGTCTATGAAATAAAATAATTAAAAATAATAAATATTTATTAAAACTTATTCTTTGCTCAGAGTTATTTTTGGATAAATAAATTTTTAATAGCGTGGAAAAATAGTGTGCATGTACAGATGTAAAATACCAGTCAACATGTTTCAAGCCCTTCAAAAATAGGCGTCCATTTTCAAAACTTGAAAGAATCAAGAATGTTGAAAATGGCGCCTATTTTTGAAGCACTTGAATCATGTCGACTGTTATTTCATATTTGTATATTTTTGAAACGAATAAAGTTTTCAATCAAATAAAATCTTACAGCTTCAACTTTTTGAAATTATTTACTTAAAAGTTTATTAGTTTAATTCGAAAAAAATCGGTTGAATGTTGAACCATAAAACGCTCATTTAAACCATAATGTGGCTTGAGGAGATTATCAAGTTGCACAACATTCTCAACTTGGATAAGGTTTGAAATTGAACCATATTTTCTTTCAAACTGAACTATAGAATCATGTAAAAATGTTAAGAAGGGTGATAATGTGGTTCAGATTGAAATCAGATTAAGGATCCAGCAAATGTTGAGGATTATATGGTTCAACAGGTTCCATTCGACAAATTAAGAGCATTCATTAAAGTGTTGAATTAAAATTATGTTATTAGAAATGTACTAAGACATTTCAAGAACTGTACAATAACATTTACAAGAAAAAATATTGCGAAATGTACACGACATCATTATCTGAATCTAATATAAAACCGTGACAATTTAGACGCCGAATGCATAATGTTAATATCTCATAGAAAAGAACTTATTAAAATTTATATTATGATGTTAAAACCTAGTCACGTCAAAGATTTCAAGTAAGAAAATCGCATTTTTCTAGCTAGAATCAAATATAATTTTTAAATATTCTTGCATAAACTAGAATCAAAATATTCTTCTGTAGAAACAAATATTCAGGTATAAAAGCAAAGATGTTTATAAATTATCGATCAATAATGAAAACCAAAGTATAAAAGTAAATATTCACTTTAAATCCTCTAACGTAATACATGAAAATAAAAATGCTTACGGTCCATTTTCGTTGTTACGCTAAATTTCCACACAATTCTTGGCAATTATATTAATATTCTTGGCATAAGTTATCTTAAAATAATAAATAAATTATTATAAAAAGCTTTTGGTAAATTTATTTAATTTAAAACATGCAACTCCCTAAAAAGTGAAAGACAATAATAAAACTGTTAGAAAACAACGTTTGTTTTCTTTCATTGATTGATTGACTTGCAATTAGTTTTTGAATTATGAACATTTGATGATTGATTATAAAAGCAATACAATTAAAAAATATATTCGCGATCATCAGTGACGAAAGTTAATACCCGAGTGCTTTGTACACAAAGAAAATTATATCAGTAATCAGACGTGTAAAAACCAATCAAGATCATTTTTTTTTTTATTATTTTACTCAGCCAGCTTATAACTCATGCAAAGTTATCATGCATATTAGCTGCATTACTAAGTTTGATGAAAAAGGAAAGTAAATAGTTATATCAGCAGAAAACTTCATTAATTGTAGCGATGTTGGAGTTGCATGATTTGTTGCTGTTGTATTGGATGTTAGTGATGTTTTGTTTGGTTACTAGGCTTATTGCTTATTGGTGTTTGGTTTGGTTATTAAGCTTACGTGCTTATTATTATTTGGCTGTTAGTGACGGTTTGAGATTCATCCTTAATAATGATCCGAAGACAATACTGGCGAACTACATTACTACAAATCAGGTTCACCAAAAATTTAGGAGCACGAACCTATGACTATCGCAATCTGGAACTAATAGAGTTTTTAACAAATCTGTCCACAAAATCCTTATTGTTCGGAAATTTAATTTCACAAGCATGATTAAATTATGACATAATTTGTACAAAAAAAATTTTTTTTGACCAACAATTTAGGAGCTTGGTTGTAGGTTCATGCTCCAAAGTCGCTGAAGTTTGTCAAAAAATCCAAAGTAATAGCTTACTAACGCTTTATTAAATAAGGATCAGTAAATGAAAGTATTCCTTTTCAAGAATTTCCCTGCTGTAAGTAAACGCATCAATCGTATTTAGTTTATTAAGTTGTACCCCTAACGACACCCCTTAAAGTACTCTTAATGTACCTTTAATACGCCTCTTCTTATTAAGTGATATTTAGTTTATAACACCATTATATACCTTACCTAGATTACTCAATACAGATTACGTGCTGATGATTTGAACATTAAATTAACTATTGACTAAGCTCTACATTAAGACTTCATAGAAAAGTTATAAACATTTTGGGGGGCCTCCCTGGCCGAGCTGTATCGCCCGCCAAATTCTGTGTAAAACGTGGAGGTAGCGGGTTTGAATCCCGCTGTCACCCTGGATGCATCTTCGTGCTGTTCTTCCCTGTATTGTGCTATCTGTACTTCTATTTGACAAAGGTTTATAAGCCTAAAATTGACCACACAAGCCTGCAAATGTATGTAATTCCAATAAACCAATAAACATTTTGTCAATGACATAACGTAATCTAATTTTTTTTCCAATTATTATGAGTTATTAATATTATTCGTGAATAAATATTAGATAGACTTATAAGTGTTTATTAGAGAAGCATATCAAAAAGAGAAAATTAAAGTGAAGAATTTTTCACAAAAAGCTTATATATTAACAACTAGGAACTTTTAAAATTATATTTATGTCATAATTTACTATAGTAAATCTCTGACTATAGCTAAAAACTGGGCTTAGTTACATACGATCAACTTCGTGTTGCTTCGTGTTTACCAGAAACTAATAAATTTCGTGAAATATTTGTCAAAGAACATCCCGCGCTTTGCAAATGTTGCCGTCATTTTCCAAAACGCCGGACTAATAGGAAAAGTATGCAGAATTTTTTATTTAGCCTGATATTTTTATGAGTTTTACAATCAGTCCGTGAGCCTTTAGGCTAATTAGTAAGTACGAGAAATACTGCTCAATCAGACTGAATTTGCGTTGTTTATCTTAATAAAACCATTTTATTGATATTTTAATGTGTAATAAAGTTTTAAAGCAATCTAAATAAATGTTGGCCGCATGATAAGATTTTCATATTTATTTTATTTATTTATCTTGATTTATGTCAATAATGTAGTGATATAGCCCCCTCCAGAATTTCGAAACATTGAGGTAGTGGGTTCGAATCTCATCCTGAACATTGATGCATTTTTGTGCTTTCTTTTTCCGATGTATGCTATCTGTTCTGTGTCATGCATTGTCATTGATTTATAAGCCCTTATATTGTATTGAGCACACTACCTTAAACATACATGTTAAATAATTAAACTACATTGCTACCGAACAATATTTATTTTTACGGTGGTTTAAAAGTTGTAACAACGGTTGTTAAATAACAAACAATTACAAAATGTTGTTTAATCTTTATTTTGTAAACATACATTTCAAGAGCTCGATTTACCCGAACTATTCGGAATTTTAGCAGATTGTTTAAATTTTTTTAAAAAAGCTTCTGTTTATTTTATTTTATTTTATAATTTCTTGTTGTTGTATGTAGCTGTAGTTCATTTACGTCGCACTAGAGCTGCACAATGGGCAGCTGGTGACGGTCTGGGAAACATCCCTGAGGATGATCCGAAGACATACCGTCACAATCCTCTGCAGAGGTGATGGCACCCCCGATTCGGTAGCCCGACGACCTACACGCGAAGTCGAGCACTTTACAGTAGAACAGTTTTAACGAGGACTAATACCGCACACCCTCGGTCCCTACGCAGACTGATCCAAGTGGTCACCCACCCGCACACTTACCTTTATGATCTCTATTATTCACAGAAAGCAATAAATCAGGCTGATTGAGCAATGATACTCTAAATAATTTGAGAGCGAGTGGCTTCATTGTAATCTGATTTTTCAATTAGCCTGTGATACAGTCGCAATGACTCATGGGATAGAGAGCTCGCCACGCATTGAGATGACCCAGGCTCAAATCGTAGCGATAACTGTCCTTTATAAATTCTGCTCTTGGATCGCACCTATCATGGTGATGACTTAAAATATCCGCAAATAAGTTAATATCTCCTTGCAGCGTCGCTCTAACCATAGGAAATTTTCGAGGTTTTCCTAGTCATGTAACTTAAATGTGGGTTAGGTTCTTTCAGAAAGAGTTCCACGAAAACTAGTTTGTCCCAATGCTAGAATTAAGATCTCTTTTGCCTCTGGGTTGAACTCGAAATTACAAGGCTACGGAGTTATTGAAAATTAATCGTAAACCGACAAATGGGTCGGTTGAGCAACGCTGATTATAAAATAAAATAAATTTGTTTCACCTCGTGTCCATTAATAATTAGTTATAAGACATTAATTAAAAGTTAATTAGTGGCAAAAAGCTAATAAAATAATTAATTCAAAAAAGGGATATATGAATCCATTAAGATCGATTATTTTATTCTTCCTTACTGCTTAAGACAAGATCCTTGAGATAAGAATCATGCAAACCAAAATTCTGAGTCAGATACTAATTGTTCCATGCGTTAGAAATGATGAATGTGTTGATAAAAATAAATCGTTTAACTCAGAGTCAAACCCAATGTTAGATACTAACTCTGATATGTCATCTCGAATAATATCGAATGAGATTAAATAGCTGAAGTAAAAATAGCACCTAAGTTTAAACAAAGCCTATTTTCACGATACGATTTCAGTTCTAGGTATAGGTTTTTGTCACGTTAATTGATTGTAAATGAACACGGAAGTTTTTGGTATTAATTTTATGAAGGCAAATAGAGAAATGACCGAAATCAAGAGAATGTCCACTTTCACTTGTGAATGTCAACAATCACATAGTCACTTTGGTGGATGTCCGAAATATTTGTTATATCCGGTTTGATATTAATTTATTCGTTGATATCATTATAATTATTCGATATTTTAATATCTGCTGAGGATTGATTGGGATAAACATCAGTGCTCGGAGAACCGGTTAATTGCATACTGGGAAGTGGCACTTGGCCTTAAAAAAACATTGATGTAGGGCATACCGGGCAAATGTATAACCAGCAGTGGCACTTAACTAGACCTAGTACCATTTCCATAGTCCATTTAATTAACTTACATTAAAGTATATGCTGAAGTCGAGCTCTCAAAATGCCCGGAGCTGAAACAAACATTTCCGACTTCAAAACTCTCTCTGGTTTAAGACCATTCCTAAGAACGGCCCAGTGGTGTACATAGATTTAAGCTGTGTCACCCCATGCAATATTTATAAGTGTCCCTCATTTCAGACTTAACACAAATGATGTAAAATTATAATATGAAGAAAAAACACTTCAGTAAAGAAACTTCCGGGTATTTAGAATTATTATTAATTCGGGTTAATTTTATATTCCAACTTAAGATAATGAAAATCATAATTGCAATAAAAAGACAGAATTCAGAAAAGGTACTGCAATACCCTTACCACTTTAAAAGGAAATTTATCTTGCGAGAAAGTAACTCACTATCTTACAATAATAAAGTTCTAAATTTAGTTAAAGGCTGTTAATATTTGTGATGATCTGATAGTAAGCTTTACAATTAAATCAAGAATCATCTAAAAATGTTTAAATAATTTTTATTTCAAATTTTGTGTTCTTGATTTCTATGAACAGTTTTCTTGTGCAGATTGTCTTAATAACAATATGGCGACTGAGTTCAAAGCCTAGATCTTAGGTTAATATCTTGAGTGTTATTAAAATAGCAAATATAATTTCCTAATTCTCCAATGCTGAAAAACTTTTAAATTTTAATAACTATTAAAAATTTTTATTATACATAAACTATCCATCCAGAGCCTCAGAAATACGAGCGTTAGGCAAAGGCCACAGCATCCTTAAGAATCTTTCTAAAATGGATCAAGTATTCCGCAATTATTCAAAATAATCCTGATTTTTTTTAAAATAATAAATGTTTAAAAAAACCTTATTTGCAGGATTAAAAAATTTTGATAATCAGAATAACTAAATCAAACAATATATGAGAGTTATTAAACGATATTTATTAAGTCTTTGCACTATGCAAATGGAATGTATCAAGATCGTTTGCTGAAAAGATTTTGATTAATTTTTTACCTGCAAATAACTTGGCAACATGCCGATCAAAGAAAAAAGTTGAATGAAAGGGAAATTTGGGTCTAGGTAGATAATTAGTCGCCTTGGTAAACTTTCACTACTACGCTGGATGTTTTTAAACACGCTGACCCTGACAGACGAATATAAACTACGCAGGTAGCAGAAGAAAATGATTTCGATTCAATTTTGAATCGTTTTGATTTGTTTTTTTTTCCTCCTTCATCTCTGACAAAGTTCTAAGCTCTTCCTTGTTCTAAGTTCTTCCGAGCTTGATTTTTCGCTCTAAATTTATTAATTTTTATTTTGTTCTTTTTTATTTCGAAAGAAAGATAAAGATAAATAAAAACAAACAAAATTAAAGTATTGATTCAATTTTGAATCGTTTTTATAAATTTTTTCCCCTTCATCTTTGGCAAAGTTTCTAAGCTCTTCGGGGCTTGATTTTTCGCTCAGAATTTATAAATTTATATTTTGTTCTTTCTTATTTTAAAATAAAGATAAACAAAAACAAACGATATTAAAGTATGGAATCAATTTTTAATCGTTTTGATTTCTTTTTTCTTTCATTTTTTCCCCTTTATCTCTGGCAAAGTTTCTAAGCTCTTCGGAGCTATATTTCTCTCTCTAAATTTAAAAAAATTCTATTTTGTTCTTTTTTATTTTAAAATAAAGATAAATAAAAACAAACAATATTAAATTATCGATTCAATTCTGAATCGTTTTCATAAATTTTTTTTCTTTCATTTTTTTCCCCATCATCTCTGGTTTGTCGGAGCTTGATTTTTCGCTCTAAATTTATAAATTTGTGTTTTTCTTTTTGTTTTAAAATAAAGATAAATAAAAACAAACAATATTAAAGCATCAAGCAATATAAAAATAAATTTTATATAGTACGCTGGTTTTAACTATGCTTTATTCTATCAGATTACTTTTAAAGTATTCACAGCGAAATCACATAATTTGAGAAATTTTCAATTCTACTAAAAGTACAAAAATGCGTACATTGCATAATATTTTAACCTTATATAACTTAAATCAGCCTTACCTAAAAATATTTAACAAATCAATAAATCATAGACTACATATTAACTAACGGTTATTTTTTTATAATTTTTTTTATTCATGTTCAAAAAAGTAACGTGACTTAAGGAAAATGCTTTAAATTTTATTTCGTTTTGATTAAGTCGCTTTCGTGTCTGAATGAACAA